CGCACCGGCGCACCTGCTCGGCGGGACTCGCCCCCGTGTGCTGCGCGGCCGATAATGTCATCAAGCCTGCCCCGCCCAGTGGCATCACCCCGGCTATATAAGGAAGACCGGCAGCCTCACTCACCGGTGAGTGATCTTCAGCTATCTTTATACCTGCTCTGCTCTCTGATACTCACCTGTGAACTGACCCGGCTTGCTACTCCACTACCCTTTCTGGATCCTGCTCCTGTACCACGCTGTCCTCTCGTTCCTGACCCGGCCTGTTCCCGACTACTATGTGGCTCATCCACCTGCCTATCCGCTATTCCTGCACCGCTCGGCTGCCAGCCCTGCCAAGAGCTCTGTACTCATCCAGATACCAAGGATTCCTCATCTGGCACCCGTGCAGCTCCAGCCTGTGCACCACCTGTTGCACCTCCAGAGGTCCGCAGACGGAGTTGCAAGGGAGGTCCTCCTCGTCACTTCGGGCTCGCACCATGGTACGTGACACCGGGACATGGACAGCAATCATAGGCGTTTTAGCCATTTTCTACTCTAGGGGCTTTTAACTATTCCCTACTCTATTCAAAATGTAAAGCTTTCATACTGAAAAGTTTAATATGATTATAGTTTGCCTTACCTGGTTATTGCCTCCCCCTTTCATGAACATGCTAATGTAAAATTTTAAATAAAGCCTTTCCCTGTTTATTACATACCTGATTTTAAGTCACTACCGGGTCTCTCTACTTCTCTATTCAATGCAGGCAGATCAAGGTTGGAGTTCAGCTTTAACAACATATATTTGGCTACAGTTTAAGGACTGAGCAATAATTAAAATATAAGTATATTCTACACAATAACCATTTGATATTAAGGATTTTTTGTAAAACATGACATTGGCAAACTTCATCTTAAAAAATGATACTTTTATTATGAAACCAAGTGTGCTTTTATTATAGTCTTTTTTTATTAATGTAACTTCTCTGTGCATTATTCAGTTCTGCTGGGCAAGGTGATCTTTAGAATGCTGTGAAACATTTTAATTTTGCATAGAGCAGATTTTTTTGGCTTTGTTGTTTCAGCTGAATGTTAAAGCCAAAATACTGGATTTGATTCAATCGTTGTTAGATGTTTCATCATGGTTGTCAATAGATTCCTGAGCTTGTTGGCGTTTTGGTGGTTTAGCCTGCATAATAAAAATGTTAGACCATTAGTAACGTGTTTATAACAAAGATCATTTTGATATAGTTTTACTTGTAGTGAGAAGTAAATCTGAAAAAGCTAGTGCGGTGCCTGCTGCAGATACAGGGAAGTCTTCTGTCCCAGATTTCCCTTGGGGCTCTCTGCAGTGATCACTCGACATGTCACATGAGCTAACAAGGGGAGTCAAAGACTGGAGACTTCACTGTAAGGGTTCATGCATGCGCCCATGAAAATACAGTAACTAGTCTAGCAAGTTCCTGCATATAAGTAGGCTGTGCTCCCCCAGGACGAGCTGTGTCGGCCGCACAGCCCCCTTGTTGCCATGGCGCCCTGTGCGGCCGCACTGCTCGCACACCCCTAAGGCCGGCCCTGTGCGCATGCAACGTTGGTGCAATATTTACATGTGTACAGTGTGTAGCACAAAGGTGCTAGGACACTAGGCGGCAACAAAGGAGGCAAGGCGGCAAAGAGCCGCTTGCATCTTAGGAACTAAGGACTCTAAAGTAGTTCCAGCTACCTGCATCCTAGCAACAAAGGATGCTAGGCAGCTCCTGCCTGCTCCTTGCCATATAGCATCTTTTGTTGCCAGGAAAATAGGCAGCTTGAGCTGCCTGTATCCTAGCAACAAAGGATGCTAGGCAGCTTGAGCTGTCATGCAACCAAGCAATGCAGACAGCTCCAATAAAGTGCATATGCGCTGTAAGCATGTAAACATTAGCACACATGGTCCATACAAAGGACCTCAGATCAGTGTTAATTTCGTCGACATGTTTTCAGTGGCGAAAACTAAAGAAAAACTAAATAAATACTAAGTTAATAGGACTAAAACTATGGCGACAATTCGTTGCAATTTTCGTCTACAAACGAAAATGCAACGAAAATGGGAGTGGCTTTGGCATTGACATATTTGGACTTCCTGTTCCCTCGGAGATCCATCAAAGCCCCAGTCCCCCGACTCTATCAGCAGCTGGATTGGCTGAGACGCCGGCTCCACTGGTCGCCCTGCCGCCTGGATCAACACACTGCATACCGCAGGAGATACTCCACCATTGGTTACTAAAGATGTTCTATATCACAACGGCTAAATCTGTGTCTGTATTGCATGTTCAAATCTTAATACCATAAATATCAACAGGTTAATAGAGGACTACTCCAGGAATATATAATGAGTTTAACTTAAATAATACATTAGGCTTAAATAAACCCATTAGATTTTAGTCGACTAAATCTCCTGGAGATTTAGTCGACAAAACTAGACCAAAACTAAAACAATTCAGATTACTAAAATATGACTAAAACTAAAATGGCATTTTAATCAAAAGACTAAGGGGGTTATTCACTATTGAGCCAATGGATCCAGCCGTAGCTTCAGCTGATTCTTCGGCCACCGGAACCCTTCAGTTCAATCGAACCGAAGGGCTGCTATACGGGCTATTCACAATAGCTCGTACAGCAGCTGAAGGTGGCCGAGTGGCTCAGCCGAGCCGTAGGCATATGCTTCGACTCGACTCAGCCAAAGTGACAGCCGAAGTGGGGCGAATGGCCTGCTGAAGACCGGCTGTTTGCCCTGCAAATGACAGCTGGGCGGAGCCAGCCGTGATCTCACGGCTGGCTCTGCCCAGTTGTAATGACAGATCAGTGTCCCCAAATGACCTGGGGATGCTAATCTGTCATTGAACAATAACAACTGGTTGGCCGGCTCCACCCAGTTGTTATTCATTGCCCGCGACCTGCTAGAAGACTCTAGCAGGTGCCAGCCAATAGGAAACAGTTGGTCACTGCTAGCTCCATCCACTTGTTTGTTTTTTTATTTTATTTTTTTTCCTTCTTTAACATATCTTTATTTTTTACTTTTACTATTTTTGATCATTTTAAAAATAATTTTTCAACCTTTTTTTTTTTTTTTACACTCTTTTCACTGATTTTCTATTCTGCTTGGTACCACGGAGGTACCACCGAATGCCGCAATCAACTATTTACTCCCTGCTGTTCGGCCCCTATGAGAATAGGGGCGAACGGCAGCAAGTGAGCTGCCGGAGCTTCGGCTCAGCTGATCTAGATGATGTGTCAGCTGAGTCGAACTTCCTCTGCACTTCGGCTCAGCCGAACAGTCAACTCGACAGAGCATGTTCGGCTGACCGAAGGCAGCCGTACAGAGCCGATGTATGGCTGAAATCAGCCGTACTGAGCCGGAGTGCATAGCCGAACCTCGTTCGGCTCTGCTCACTTTGGCTCGGTTATTCACTCAGCTGCCTTTGGCAGCTTTGTGAATAACCCTGTAAAACTAAATTGAAATTTGCCATCAAAATAAACTCTGCCTCAGATGCAGCTTTTTCCGTTTAGATTTTACAGATCTGAACGCACTGAAAGATTATTGATCGTTATGCAATGTGTGCACGGACTTATACAGTATAAACTAATATAAAACCACAGCATTTTTTATTGCCATGTGCATGAGCCCTAACTGGCAGTTGGGCGCTGTGCTAATTGGGGACTGCATGTAGCATGTGGTGAGCATATTTTTTTGAGAGAGACAGTGGCAGCAGAAGGGATGGTCGACTAGTGATTACATAGTACATGTCGCTGTTTCTGGCATAGGCTTTGTTTCCGGCCTCTTTCCTTTTAGTAGTAAAAGACAGGATAGGTTGGCAGAACCAACATAATATATGAAGCCAAATTTATAGAGCTAATATACCAGAATATTACAATCACAATACAAATCAAGACTAGGTAGGCCCTGCCCATGAGGGCTTACAATCTAAGAGATTGTATCATAGTCATATGACTACAAGGAACGATCCTTAACTTTGTGTAAAGCTTTGTGAATGTAACCTTTGATTACATACTGCCTGATTTCAGTTCAGCAAGGGAACGCTGGCCTGCTAAGCAACTGGTAAGTGAACTAATAAGGGTCTAAAATACTCCATTACAGGTTCACAGAGCAGATTGGTTTGGCCAGTGAATCAGTGGTAAACACCTAATTGCTATGACTCCAGATTGCTTGCAGATCCATTGGTGAAGCAATTTGCTCATTACTAATATAACATCTAGTTACTCTAGCCTACAGAGTCCACTCATAAGTGAATATCAGTTTAGAATGGTCTATGCCTTTAAACTACTGTATATATTTTTGTATGTTGTTTCTTACATACCTCTTCATATTTACACTCCCAGTAGAAACTGGCTTTACTGTCAAGGTATAGGAGAATCAGATCACACAAAAGTGTTGCCTATAACAAAGAACATTGCAAAATTCTGTCATTAACATTTCATATACAGGAAAAAAATTGTAGCGATAGAACGAAAAACACACACGTCCAGGAACTAAACACTGCAAAGATATTATGGGTGCATACAGACAAAATGGTTAGAGGTAGAAAGTTGGCACATGGGTAAGTAAACATTTTGAGAGTGACAAATTTATTTCCTTTGTTTGGAAGCACAGGGATTCCATCACTAGACTTTATAATGGCTGTAGCATTAGAAATGGTAATTCGGTGGGAGCATCTCACAATACGGATTTGCGGCAGGACTAATAAGGCAGCATGTGATTCAGCTTCTAGCGATTATGAAAAATTGAAATATCAGGCTCGGGTGTTGACCTTTAGAAAAATCAAGAGGTGTGTATGAAAACAATTACACTCACATGTGCAGTCTGTTTGTCCATTTACACAACTATACAATGTTTTTTTAGGTACTTTATTGTAGCCAAGCCCTATCCCTTTATTCTGCATCTTCTCATTTCACAGCTCTTCAGTCATATTTTCAGTGGCACCACAGTATTTGCCATGCTTAGCCTTATGCCCATAACTGATTTGCTAGTTGTCCAGTTTAAATCATGACTGAACGGACAAAAAAGGGAAAAAAATACAGATTTATGGGGCAAACTTATAACGCTGAATTTATAACCGACATTCATGGTGCATTACTTCCACTAGATAGAGCCAAGGACCTATGCTCCTTGGCTCTATCTAGAGGCAGTAATGTGCTGCGAACGATTTTCTCAAAGCTAGTTGCTTTGAAAACGCATTATAAATCAGCCTATTTGTGTTTCGGATTAGTTAAATCTGCCTTTTATGTCCTACAACACGTATCACAAGCCCAGACCAGGGTAAATATTACTTTGTTTAATACAGCCTGCATGCTGTCTGCACTGTACTGTGCATAGAGCAGTAGGAATGTAGTCTAGGACATAAAAGAAGGAAGGTTTTGTGATCTGTCTCTCCTGTGATTGTATCAGTGCAGTATAGCATAGAAATTATCATGTTTGTTTCCTGCCATTGAAGGTATTTTAAATCCAGCACACATATAGAGAACATTCCTTCTTTGTTTCTCATGATTTTGATCAGTAATCATGCTGCCAACTTCACTGTATAGTGCAGACTGCAGACAGTCAGAATGGTAACAATTTAATGTTTACACTGGGTTGTACCTGTGATGACAGGTCTCAGAATGAAAAGTTATATACTTGCAAAGCTGCTTATAGATAACATAAATTAATAATGTATTACTTACACTACCCAAGAAGGCACACCCAGTTGCAAGACTTACGGCTGTTGGCACAATACTAAATCTTCTTGCCTGGACATGGAAGGTAGAAAGTTATCCCACAGGAAACACTAGATCAATGCAGTGTGTTATATGAGCAGAGAAGGCCAAACCTCTCCTGTCACTGATATCTCGAAACGGATCCCGTAGAGTTTTAAAAGGTCTCGGTGTTCACGTCTTTCTTTGTCCCAATAATAAGTAGCTGTTCTACAAATAAAGCACAATGGGAGTTGTTTCATACAGTTCTCCCTGATCCACTATTGTTAGTAAAGAGTTATTTGTAAAGTAATATTATTGTCCTTACTTTTAAAGTCCACTTCCAGACATATTTGTTTTTGTTTTGGATAAAGTGGGAAAGCATTAGTTCTTACTGCTGTCTGTAACTTGATTTAATGAGACTTTCACTGATTTTGAATCCCAGCAGCACCAGAAAAATAATGCAAAAGAGGCCACTGGCATGGGAAGACAAAGACAGTAATAAAAACTTGTCCCCAGTATACTAAAAAAAACACTGCACTTAGGAGGAATTGGACACTGGCAAACAAAAAAGCCTTCAGCCAGCCCCACCCCCTGATGCTTCAGTTTTAAGGAAAAGCAGTAGTAGGAGTAGATCATAAACACAGAGGGGACCTGTGTCTCTTAATGAGCTACAAGAAAAAGATACAAAAATCCTGTTCTCTTAATCGTTTATCAAGTGATACGGGATCATTAGAATTCAGGAACAATGAGAAGTCCCAAAGCAGTCCAATTGAGGGAGTGCAGCACACCAACAACAATGCTAACAGCTCACGAAAGCAGTAGTGGAAAAAAAAACAATGGGGGTATCCTTCAGCTTAAAAAGCTGTCTGAAGTTCTCATCCACAGATGCCTGAATATACACCTGGTAAAACTTAGAGAACAGTGAACCAGGTGGCAGAATTGCAAATATGGATAGCAGAAGCTTGATGCAGAAAAGCCCAGGAAGCACTCACAGATCTGGTGGAGTGTGCCCTAAATAGAAAAAGTGGAACCTTACCTGTAAGCCGGTATTTGAAAAAATATTTGCCTAAGCCACCAAGATATTGAAGAGAACATCACCTAGATATGGAAGAGAAACTTGAGGCAGGCTGTCACTTACAGGGACCCTCAAGGATGACAAAGAGAAAGTCAGTCTGTCTTAGGGAAGACATAGCTACAAGGTAGACCCAAACAGCTCTAACCACATCCAAGCGATGCAGAGAACTCTACTAGAGTGAATTTGAGTAGGACAGACCAATGTCCTGTTTAAGGTGGAAGGCAGAAACCATTTTCAAAAGAAAGGAGATTTAAGGGCTTAGGAAAACCTTGTGCAGAACTAGAAAAGGTTCTTTACAAGACAAGGCTGCTAACTCAGACACTTGTAGAGATGATGGCAATGAAAAAGGCCACCTTGTGAGTTAGAGCTGTCAGGAATATCTCTATGGTCTTTGAAGAGCCAGGAGAACCAGGTTTAGATTCCCTGGAATCACTAGAGGCTGTACAGGTGGAACTATGTGAGCTACACCTTGTGCAAAGGCCCTGAAAAGGGAGTGTGAAGCAATTAGAGCTGGCATTTGTCCCTTAATGGAGCTCAAAGCCAGTTGTTGATACAGGCTGGATTGTAGAAAGGACAGTGTCTGCGCCTCACAGCAATTCCTAGGATCAAATCTACTTGCCTTGCACCAGGCAAAGCACACTTTCCAAGTGGGATGGTAGAACTTGCATGACAAGGACTTTCAGAAAGACCCTTGTCCCTTAGGACCTAGGCTTCTACAGCCATGTTGTCAAAGACAGTAACTGTGAAGCAGGGTGGTAAAGAGGCCCTTGTGACAGAAGATCTGAATGGTCTGGGATAGCACACGGGGTGTCTGCCAGGAGTCTGATGAGTTCCTCCTGATCCCATGGAGCTACAAGCTACAATCCAGTATCCACTGCTTCTTTCTGCCATTGAATATCTGGATCTGAAGACAAACTTATTTAGCTTTTTGTTGATCCTGGAAGCCAGGAAGTCCACCTCTGGCTTCCTCCATCTAATACAAAGAATCTGGAAAGCCTATGAGTGCAGAGACTATTCCTTTGAGGTAGTCTGATGAAAGGTTGTCCATTCCTGGAATGTGCAACGTAGACAAGGTGGAAATGTTAAGTTGTGCCCAATACAAAATATGTTCCACTTCTCTTTCCACGGCGTGACATCTGGTAGATGTACGCCACTACCGTGGCATTTTCTGATTGTTTCCAGATTGAATGCCCATGCAGTCTAGGAGTCCAACAGGACAATCACTTGGCCACACATATAAGCTTGTCTCCCTAACAACATAGTAGAACTGAGGAACACAGGAAATAGATACCTCTTTGTTCCTCACAAGATAAGACAGAGGTTCTAAACAGCAGTACTAGTGAAAGTGCTTTTTTTTGGTGTCTGTATCGCTGCTGGAGAGATTGTCTTTACTGTCTCGATATCTTGATGGTAATTAATCGAAACTGTGGGTAAGCAAGGGATATCTTGCACCAAAAAGGAACACACATCTAACATTTCTGCATTCTATCCAAAATGAAAAATGTTCTGGCCATCAATTCTATTTCAATTACGATTTTGTGTGTGGTCACATACAATAAGTAGGAAATGATTAGCAACATAACCTAACCTGAAGTTGTTGTTTTTATCTTGCAATCCAAAGGAGTATTGTGGTTTGCAGACTTTTGCTTGATCCAAGTTGCATTTCCACTCAATATCAATTCTTACAACTCCACCCTAAAGTATACATGTAAATATAGTATATTGTTAAACCCCAAAAATGTACCTACATGATACAAATTGTTGATGTATATTTTCTAAATTTCAGGCATAAAAGAAAGTACTAAACAAAATGTTAAATCTTTCAACATGCTTTTCAAATAGTTGTTAAAGGAGAACTATGGAGTTAAGGCTTTTCCCCATAGTTCTCCTTAATGTAACGGGAGGACACAAACTAGCGTCCTCCCATCACCCTAAGCTCAGTATAGCTACGCGGTATACTGAGACGCCGCAGCTGAAGCGGATCCCGCCAATTATGTCTGGATCCGCCCAGCTGCTTGAGTGACAGCTGGCTCTACCTATCTAGAGGCAGAGCCAGCTGTACCCGCCCCCTCCCCGTCCGTTCCGCCAGTCAGCGCTGGAGGATCGGAGCGGGGAGGGGGGAATCCAGCCGTGACAGGATCGAGAAGTGAGCAAACGCCGGTATGTGTTCGCTCACTTCCCGATCTACTGATCCGACCTGTGACAGTCTCATTGTCACAGGTCGGCTAGAACTATGAGGTGAGTGAAAAACACTCACCTCATAGTTCTCCTTTAATTAATGTTAATTCGAGCAGTGTGCAGAGGCTTGTCAGACTGCTGCTGGAGACCCCGGCCTATGAGCTATGTGTGAGAGCAGCAGTCTGTCTCTTCAGCATGCTGCCAGCACAGGGAACTTTAACCCACGTACAATGTCTACCTTCCTGACTAATTCCTGTCATATTTGTTTGCTTTTAAATTATATAAAAACATACCAGAAAAGACAGTTCTTCAAAGCTATTTTTGGCTTCTGTTATGATATTCTTGATTGTGAAAACTGGACAGTATGGGCTGGAGACTGGGTCATATCTGCAGCTCTTAAAATAAGTATCATCCAATGTCTTCAGTGTGTTTGCCCTTTAAAGAAAAAGATAGTGAAGAGAATGAATTGTACATATAAAACTGACTCCATTGAGTACTGGAAAATGCAGGGGAAGGGAAGTTATGTATGAAATAACACAGTTGTTAAAAGCTATATTTTAAATATTAATAACTTACTGAAATTTATCAGAAAGCCAAAGATGTATTCTGTATGAAATGACTCCTCTAAGGTGGGAAATTACATATGGAATATGTCATGTAAGTCACAAGTTTACCATGCACAGCTGCATGGCTTGGGTATTTTGATTAAAAATATAATTTTGATAAATATTCAAGCTACTATTATAGAATGTACTAATTATATAGGCCCTGTATTTTTAAAATATATGTGGTCTAGTGGAATAGGGCCTTTATGTCTGAGAGTAAATTCAAAAAACTGCTTTAGCCATCTGTAGTGCAAATTCAGTGGCAGAACATGGCAGTAAAGATCACAATAGATCAAAACTGGAATACATAGATTATATATGTATGATAAGTGCAGCAGGTATATGATGCTATACAGTGAATATCAAGTTTCACACTCAAATTTGCATTCTAACATAAGAGATGAGCAACAAATGTCCCAGAAATTATTCTTGAATGTTGCCTACAGCAGGGCTTCTTAATGTTTGGGTCGCGAAATGGGGTCATGCAACTGGATGTGGGGGTCCCGTGTGTTAGGTTTCCCAAATGACCAGAAATTTATAACTGTTATAGTGGCATACAGTATATGCAAGCTCCTTTGGTGGCAGGGGCTAATTTCATTGGCTCAAATGTTTTCTGTTGAACACTAATATGTTGCTGATGTATACATAAACTAATCAATTTAACTATATACCACACTTTCACAAATATTACACCAACATCTATGGTCAGAGTGTTTCTGGCTATGATAGGTATACTGGTAGATAGGAGCTGGGCGAATATTCCTCAGAGCTTATTTTGAATTGGATAAGGTACTGTCGGCAACAAGCATTGTGGATATCATAGTTCATTGTGATAAGATACAAAAATAGGGCAAGTTGGGCCTTTGCAAGACTACAGTACAGGTGAAACTCTAATAATTAGAATATCGTGCAAAGTTCATTTATTTCACTAATGCAACTTAAAAGGTGAAACTAATATATGAGAGAGACTCATTACATGCAAAGCAAGATAGTTCAAGCCGTGATTTGTCATAATTGTGATGCTTATGGCTTACAGCTCATGAAAACCCCAAGAACCCCAAATCCACAACCTCAAAAAAGTAGATTATTACATGCAATCAATAAAACAAGGATTGTACATCAATATCGGACCTCTGAAAAGTACAAGCATGCATATGTACTCAGTACTTGGTTTGGGCCCCTTTTGCAGCAATTTCTGCAATTACTTTTGCACGATATTCTAATTATTCGAGTTTCACCTGTATATACACATCTACCCAAAACACTTTTCAGAATCACTTACCCAGAAAAACGAAATTTGCTAAAATAAACTGCATTTTTTATAAACAGTGTAAAGTTTTCTGCTTCATTTAAAGGTATTTTCCTAGAGAAAAAAGAAGAAACATTGAACATTTTCAGATACATTTTTAATTTGCAGCATGGTGAAAATAAACAGTAGAATCTATAACTCTTCTCCCCACTTTTTCTACCCAAATCTATAAAAGAAGCATAATTGTTAGATTTAAACCGCTGCTAGAAAAATGTGGCCAGTCATTTCAATCGTGACAACTGGCCCAACTGGTGCTTTTTTATTAGAATTGGGAAAAATGTTCAACTTCTCGGCTTATATTCGAGTCAATACTTTTTCCCATTTTTTTGTGGTAAAATTAGGTACCTCGGCTTATATTCGGGACGGCTTATACTCGAGTATATACGGTAGATAAGATGCTACATCAAAGAACCAACAATAGCCTGCCAACAGCTAACATAAATAGGAAAAATGTGCACACTAACATTAGAATGCTACTGTAGATGTAATTGATCTTTAAAAATATGAAAAATAGCTTATGAACTTATATGCTGTACAAATATGATCACAAATTACATTCACTATAAATACAGTATAGAAACATGATAGATACATTGTTAACTGTTCAAAGTGCAGCATATAGAAAAATGTTTAACATAGTGGTAAAACATTTAATAAATTAAACCTATATTGTAGGCTGCCATTGCTGACTTCTCCTTATGAAAAGATGAGTTACCTGGCTGTAGTGCTGGGCCAATAACTGTCCTGGAGCATGCATGCACATGCAAAACAAATTACCAAACCTGTGGGCAGAAAGATAATCCTACAATAGTGAGTTTAAATACTGAGATCAGCATAGGAGGATGCCCAGCAAAACCTGAAGCTTTACAGAGGATCACAATGCACTGTGCACATTAATCCAAAGGGCAGATCTAGCTCTGGTGGTTGTTTGCAACTAAGCTATATTATCTATATAATATAT